GGGCGGGAGAGGCGGCCCAGCCGCGCCGGAGGGTGCAGGGGCTGCGCGGGGTGGGCGGGTTTGGAAAAGCCCGTCCCTGGCCCCCTCTGACGCTGTAGGGCCCTTGGGAGCGGCCGTGACAGCGGGCCGGCCGTCGGGGGCGGGCCGGTGGGATGGGCCTGGTCACGGGCACCGCACCCCCGGGGGTCCCGGCGGGTCCCGGCTGCACAGATGAGGTTCCCCAGGGGAGCTGCGGGTGCTGGGCGCCCCGGGGAGCGTGAACCTGGCTACGCCAGGGCCTGGTGCCGGAGCTTGAGAGCAAGCGCATGGCCGGGTGCTGTCCAAAAGTTACCACCTAAACGCGCTTCTCGTGCACTTAATTCAGAAGTTTTCCACTTAAGAACTCGAGAGCTAGACTGAAGAAGATCCAGATATCTCACCAGTTGTCGAGAGGCAGCATGGAGACTCTATAACTGCCTCTGGAGTCTTGTCCACGTGGAAAGCAGCAGTTTGTTCAACCCTGAAACGTATTTAAGAACAACATAATCCAGAGCAAGCAGCTGTAGATGAAAACAAATCTGGATTTCAAAATTTGGAGTCTGCTTTCTAGCATCTGCTCCAAAGAACTTTCCTTCCCTCACCTCCTGTTGTTAAACAGTTGATCTTAATTCATTTTGTCTTAATTACATTACCGTCTGTTTACAATACTTTCCTACATGTGCTTTTCTTCATCTTCAGTGATGTAGCTTGACTGAAGTAAATCAGTCGCTGCATGCAACATGAAGGGGTGGTGTGAATGAAAACTGTGTGTCCAGATGGCACCTGCTGTTACTGCTCTCTTGGCAGGGGGAGGCCTCAGGCTGGAGGTCCGTCCAGTCCTGCTTGTTTTAAGAGAATGACAGCGGGAATCCCCAGGAAATACGAGAGAGTGGGAGCTCAATTTTTAGAGGAGTTACAATGCCTAAGTATTTTTTACAAAGTGCATGGGCAGGTAAACTAGAGCGCTATAGGGAGGAACTTATGGCAGTTGAGTTGAGGCAAACTTAAGATGAGGCAAGCTTAAGACACCAGAAGAACCCAAGGTATGATTGTGACTTTCAGCAGGGAAAGGTATTAGTTTCACAGTGTTATTTATGTAGCAACTTTTGGGTAATTGTGTTTTATAACTCTGGATGCACTTGAAAGATAGAAGGCTTAAGACTAGATTTTACATCCAAGTCACAGAGAATTGGGCTTCTTTGAACACCTTTGAAAATCTCTTCAAATGTCCTTCATTCTGAACTTCCTTAATTCCGTTAAAACTTGGCGCTAATGTAGAGTGCAGGTATGGCATGATATAAATAAGACTAATGCAAATGATACTCTACCTATTAGAAATCTTGAATTCCTTGAGTTCTTGAATTCTGGAATTCTTGAATGCCTTGCCTTTTTGGCAGCTTTCATGACCATCAGCACTGGGCTTGCAAGGCAATATAAATTCCTAATCTGCAAATTGCTCTGTGTCCTGTTGGGTTTATTTAAAAGTCTGCCTAGTGGGTGATGGTGGTATCGGAAACAGGGGATTATGACTTCTTAATGCAATTACACTGGAGCTGAAGCAGAGCCACAAAGGAGAATGAACTTTTATTCAAACATCTGTCAGCTGTGACATAGACCAGGAGAGATAAAATTAAGATTGAATTATTTTGCTGTCTGATGTTATGTTGCTACAGCATTCTTGAATTCTATTGAAAAATTAATCTGGACAACAGTGTATCATCACAGGATGATGAAGGCATGCCTCTTTTCCCTTATGTCATCCCATGATTGAATTTAGGAAGTTTAGGAAAGAGCTTTTCATTTCTAGATTCTTTCACAAGGGGATCACATTTTAGCTGTTTTGGGTTGTTAGGGTTTTTTTTTTCAGGAGTACTGTGGTGTTGAGACTTCTACTGTTTTCTTTTTGATAATTCTAAACCAACATTTATCCATAAACGCAGTGTCGTCATAATTCCAAAATATTCCTGAGCATTAGTATACAGTGATCTCTAAGGTGTTGTGGTTTCATTTACGTTAAGGATCTTCAGTAAACCAAAACCAGTTGCTTATTTAATTCTGGAAGCAATTAATGACGGATATGTATTTCTCTGATCATGTGTATCTCTGTGCAATTCCAGAACAGTCAGTGGTGGGATAATTTTTGAGACTGAACATTTCAGTGTAAATTCAAGTCCTTCACTTTACACCCAGTTTATGCTGGTTTGGCTGTAGATTTACTTTGCACTTCGATGCAGTTTGTGCTGTGTGAACAGTGAAACCCTATGTCCCTATACTGAAAGAGGAGGTAATTGTTTTTTTCTTTCCTAGGCAAATTTTAAAATCTTTCATGTAGAAAGAAAGAGGACTTAAGTGCATCACTAGAAATGTCTGACTTCCCCTTCTGTGCTACTCACTAGTGGTGAGCAATGGGAAGATTCAGCATTAAGGTAAACGAATATCAAAACCATTGAGGAATCAGCAGTGAAATAACCTTTTATAACAAAGCCCTCATTCAGACAGCTAGCTTGCAGCTTCATTATTTGTAAGCCAAGTCTGTATAAAGGATGGAGGAAGCAGAATAAATTAAGCCTGCCATGTTACACACACACACACACACACACACATACACCCCCTGCAAAGCAAAAAGGGTTGCTTATAAAGTTGCAGCCCCTTTTGTAGAAAGCAGCCAGCTCCAGCATCTCAAAGTGTTGATCTGGTATATCCTTATTGCTTAGGGCCCAGGGGAAGTCCTCCTGCAGGGCATTGATCAAATAATTTAAACCAGGCAGGTGACAGGAAACCATTTTTCAAGGTGGAAGTGAAAGAATGAGTTGTGCTGTTTCAGATCCAGGTCAGGCTCTTCTTGGCGGTGATCAGTAAAGTAAATAATTGTGTGAAAGCTGTAGGTAACTCATATATACCAAATAAAAGTTGCCCTGGCATCATAATGATGGTGTTTATTAACAATGAGCGCGACTTTTTGCACCTAAATGTTGCTTTTTAAACCTAGTTGGTTTTGAGAACTGAGTGTATACAAATTAGGCAAAGCTTCCTGTGCCAGCTGGATGAGCAAGAACTGTTTCATACTTTCTATTATTAGACCCTGTTTTCAGTTAGTTGGACGTTTTCCTATCTTAAGGCATTTGCCTTGAAATTTTCTATGTCTAACCTACTATTGAGAAAAACAAGAAATAAAAAGTTTGCTGTTCAGTCAGTGATAAAAAATTGCCCCACTGTTCTGATGAGCTCTTTGCCTTCAAGCAAGTTTTTGAAACTGAAGAGGAGTATTTGCAAGGGAGAGTCCCTACACTGATGGGGAAGCGTCTTTTCTTTCCTTGTGCAGCTCTGCCCGTGCTGAATGAAGTTACAGCCTTGTGTTCAGTAGATGCTTTTCTGAGCTTGATATCCTTTACAGGATATCCTTTGCAGAGGCTGAAGAGCAGAAAGGACCCTGGCACTTCAGGGTGCCAGCAACATCCCATGCCCAGAGAAAGAACAAAATTTGAGCAGAGAACTCCAGAAAGATACAGTCTTGTGGCTAAAGTTGTCAGATGCTGACCTGTAGAACTAGATTTTATCCCACTGTCTTCCCTGCCACCACCTGAAGGTTGCAGAGCAAATGATTCAAACCACTTCTCACAGGTCATGTCAATTAACGTATCATGGGTTTTGTTAGTCTAACCTGAAAAACTTGCAGTCTGATTGGCAAAAGTACTTAGTACTCACAATTTTAATCAATAAGAACTGTACTTAGAATACAGCAAAATGCTACAAATCCTAAATAGTCTGAAAATCAAGCTTTGAATGTCTTAAATTAGGCACAAAATCAGTGGTGATTTCTGATGATTTTTAATTGTGTGCACTCTTCACCAGGATGCCATCTTATGTTAAATAAGTCTTTCACTCCTGTAATAATGTATTATAAAAAGAGACTGAAAGCCTGTTAAGTTATGCAGAGTGCTTAAAAGGTGTGCAGTGACTGCCATCTGAATATGTAATATATGTAATTCATATTTAAATTCACTTTCCTTAGTTCAGATTTAAAAACTACACTGATGCTAATAATCATATGTGTTGTATTAGTAAAACATCCATGTACATAGAGAGGTTTTCTATACCACGTGCTTCTAATGTAGCAGTTATTTCCTGAAGACATCATTGAATATGGAACAGTTAACTAAAATTTAAGTAGATACCACCTTGCTTAACAAAATGTGCACTAATGAATGTGTCCTGTCTATCAGGAAGTTGCACAGTGGCAAATCAATACCTTAATCAAGAAAAAATGTTTTATGTAAATAATCACTTGGTTTCCCCTGATAAATAACTGAGCTTCTCTTTTTTTATTGAAGAAGAGGAAGAATATGACGAGCCTCCACGGTGCAAGGCGGGACAAGATATTGTGCTGCAGTCACCTGTTGACTGGGTGCTTTTGGATGGCCGAGAAAGTTCAGATGACCATGGAATTGTGCAGTATGAGTGGACGCTGCTGCAAGGTGACTCATCGGTTGAAATGAAGGTACAGGTGCAGTCTCACATGGCCAGTTACTTGCAGATTGTTGTATTCATACAGTTTTAAATGTAGAGCTAAAAATATTAAATGTATTCAAATGGATATGGCTACCAGGCACAAAAATTAGGATGACTGTACAACTTAAGCATTTATTTCATAGAAATATAGAGCAGCCCAGGTTGGAAGGAACCTCAAAAGATCATTTGATCCAACCTTTCAAGGGACAAGGAACATAGATGAGATTATCTGATCTGTCAAATCACATCTTGAAAACCTCCTGTGATGGGGTCTAATACTGTGTCCTTGGGGAGTTTGTTCCAGTGATTATTTCTAGCAGTTTATACAGTTCATCTCAATCCAGGATGGCATGAGCCAGCCAGCAGCAAACAAGTAGATGCTAATGCTCTCTTTTGCCATTGTTTGTGCTCACTGCACTTTTTTTTCAGCTTCTGTGATCCAGGTTAGAGACACCTCAGTCATTCAGTTAGTAAAAATAGTAAAGTATTTTCACCAACACTATTCTGTCAATGCTTATGGAGAAATTGCAAAGAGTTGTGTAAAGTAGACCTTATGAGATAGCTTGGGATACTATTTTATTATATCCATACAATTTCTGCTGCAATTGGGTTTCAACTTAAACCATCAAGAGAGGGATTCTCCATCCTACCCTTCTTTGTCTCTAGGAGCAAGCAGAAAAGGAAAGGAAAAATGTCTCAAACCCGTAGAGTCTACTCACAGTCTGTTCACAACCCATAATATTCAGGGCATGCTGGGAACTCCACCTACAGCAGGAGGGACGTGTAAAGGGGAGAGGGTGTTGACCATAGACTCTTTCTGTTGCTGAAATGCTGCCAATGGATAGGAAGAGTTTAAGCAGGACAGGATCAGCAACAGAAACAGTCCAAAACCCAAGAGGCCATGTGTGCCAGTGCCACCATGAGCAGTACATGTTGTTGCTTATGTCTGCCCAGCTCAGTCATATCAAAGACAAAATACCAATATCAGCAAAGTTACTCAAGATGTGTAATGATGGAACAAATCAGAGTTTTGCCTAACACCAAAAAGCTAGTTAAATGCATTGAAACCTAAAATTGTCATTCATGGGAAAATCCAACAGAGCCATTGGTTATTCCTTAGTCTCCTGGAGGGCAGTGTAGGTAATGTGTAGGTAACTGAAGATCACCATGTCACAGTTGGGAAACATGCTGCTGGGTGAACCCAAAGAAGACAAATGGATTTCTCTGGTAAATAGTTAATGAAATTTATGCACAAGTAACTTTATAAACATGCTCCTTGCAGAAAACACAGGAGGGCTATTCAGAAGTACTAGTTAAGCCAGTGCTGCTTGCTTTTGAAGGTTCTATCTTCTACTGCAAGATCCACAACTTTAGAAGGGTGACTACAGTCAACCAGTTCTGAATGACTTGAGGATATATTGCAATTTGAAAGTGTTATGTCAAAGATCGCTGTGAGTTTATCGTCATTTATTATTTATTGGCTTGAAAATTAAAAGGTCAGAAGGGTTTGATAGGGAATGTGAACAGCATACTACACAGAAAAGATTCGAACAAAGCTTTAAGAATAGTTGCTAGGTATCATCTAGATAAAATGAACATTTTATTATCAAGAGTTGTTAATCTGACCCTTTGCAGCATTGTTTTCTTTAAACAGCTGTTAAATACTCTTTAATCTTTGGTGAGTGAACTGACCAGAGAAGGTGTCCTGCTGGATCTTTTTGTGAACAGAGAAGGGCTGGTGGATGATGTGGAGGTTGGAGGGGGGCACAGCAATCACGAAATAATAGAGTTCTCTATTATTAGAGAGGTCAGGAGAGAGCTAAGCAGGACTGACATCCTGGACTTCAGAAGGGCTGACTTTGTCTTGTTTAGGCACCTGCTTGAAAGGATCCCCTGGGAGACTCTCCTGAAGGGTATAGGGGCCCAGGAAGGCTGGGTGCTCTTTAAGAAGGAAGTGTTAATGGCTCAGGAGCAGGCAGTCCCCAGGTGCTCTAAGAGAAGCCGACGCCAGAGAAGACCACCCTGGCTGAACAGGGAGATTTGGCTACAACTCAGGGAGAAAAGGAGAGTTTACAGCCTTTGGAAGAAGGGGGCTAGCCACTCACAGTGATTACAAAGAGACTGTGAGGCTATGCAGGGTGGGAATCAGAAGGGATAAAGCCGAACTGGAAATTAATTTGGCCTCTGCAATCAAGGATAACAAAAAAAGTTTCTATAAGTGTGTCAGTAGCAAAAGAAAGTCCAGGGAGAGTCTCCATCCCCTGCTAGATGCAGGAGGAAATTTGGTAACAAGTGATGAGGAGAAGGCTGAGGTCCTTAATGCCTTCTTTGCCTCAGTCTTTAATAACAAGGTTAGTTGTATTGATGAAATCAAGCCTCCACAGCCAGAATACAGAGACTGGGAGAATGACCCCTCTGCAATCCAGGAGACAGTCAGTGACCTACTGCATCACATAGACATACACAAGTCTATGGGACCAGACGGGATACACCGGAGGGAGCCGAAGGAGCTGGCTGGGGTGCTCACCCAGCCACTTTCCATCATTTACCAGCAGTCCTGGCTGACCAGGGAGCTCCCGACAGATTGGAGATTGGCCAATGTGACCCCCATCTATAAGAAGGGTTGGAAGGATCATCCGGGAAATTACAGGCCTGTCAGTTTGACTTTGGTGCCTGGGAAGCTGATGGAGTAGCTCATCCTAAACACCATCATGCAACACATGAGGGACACCCAGATGCTCAGGCCCAGTCAGCATGGGTTTATGAAAGGCAGGTCCTGCTTGACAAACCTGATCTCCTTCTATGACAATGTGACCTGCTTATTGGATGAGGGAAAGGCTGTGGATGTAATTTACCTTGACTTTAGCAAGGCTTTTGACACTGTTTCCCACAGCATTCTCCTGGCAAAAATGACGGCTCGAGGTTTGGACAATCGCACACTTCACTGGGTAAAAAACTGGCTGGACGACTGGACCCAGAGAGTTGTGGTAAACGGAGTTAAATCCAGCTGGTGGCTGGTCACGAGTGGCGTCCCCCAGGGCTCGGTTTTGGGGCCACTCCTGTTTAACATCTTTATTGATGATCACTCCTGTTTAACATCTTTATTGATGATCTGGACGAGGGGATCGAGGGCACCCTCAGTCAGTTTGCAGATGACACCAAGTTGGGTGGGAGTGTTGATGTGCTCGAGGGCAGGGAGGCTCTACAGAGAGACCTGGACAGGCTGGAGCCATGGGCTGAGGCCAACTGGGGGAGTGTCAATAAGGCCAAATGCCGGGGGCTGCCCTTGGGCCACAACAACCCCCAGCAGCGCTACAGGCTTGGGGAGGAGTGGCTGGAGAGCTGCCAGTCAGAGAGGGACCTGGGGGTGTGATTGACAGCCGGCTGAACAGGAGCCAGCAGTGTGCCCAGGGGGCCAAGAAGGCCAATGGCATCCTGGCTTGTGTCAGCAATAGTGTGGCCAGCAGGGACAGGGAAGGGATCTTACCCCTGTACTCAGCACTGGTGAGGCCGCCCCTCGATTCCTGTGTTCAGTTTTGGGCCCCTCACTACAAAAAGGACATAGAGTTACTCGAACATGTCCAGAGAAGGGCTACAAAGCTGGTGCAGGGTCTAGAACACATGTCCTATGAGGAGCAGCTGAGGGAACTGGGATTGTTTAGTCTGGAGAAGAGGAGGCTGAGGGGAGACCTTATCACCCTCTACAACTCCCTGAAAGGAAGCTGCAGAGAGCTGGGTTTGAGCCTATTTAGCCTAGTAGAAAGTGACAGGACAAGAGGGAATGGCCTCAAGTTGTGCCAGGGAAGGTTTAGACTGGATATTAGGAAGCATTTCTTTCCAGAAGGGGTTGTCAGGCGTTGGAATGGGCTGCCCAGGGAGGTGATGGAGTCCCCACCCCTGGAGGTGTTCAAGAGTAGGGTCGATTTAGAGCTTAAGGATATGCTGTAGGTGGGAACTGTGCTAGGCGAATGGTTGGACTAGATGATCTCCAGGGTCCTTTCCAACCTAGATGATTCTGTGATTCTGTAATCTGTGATGTAGTAATATATCTAGGTAAGACAAAAATTAGAATTATAAAATGTAAAGTTCATGTTTTTACTTTTACTCAAAGTCACTCCATAAAACAGAGACAGATTGTATATCTGTTTAAACTTGCAAAATTCACAGTATGGTGTTTTCTTTATATTTGATAATGGAAGACAGATTTGACATGCATTCATGGTTAGATAAACACTTTTCTATTGTGTTCAAATGAGCAGGGTTTTCTCCTACAGATATGTACCCTGATGATTATCCATGATAATATAATTTTTAGAGTTGAATTAATAATTGTGATTTTTTTTCATACAATCTTCAGTTGCTGTCTTTTGCTGTCCTGGAGTTACTGGATTTCATGTCACTTTCTTAGAAAACTATATACGAATCCATAGCTACAAGGGAGAATGGGACTATGTTTAAACAAGATAAAAGGCAGCTGTTGCACTGCACTTACGTACCAAAGAATAAATAGGAGGCAGAGGAAGGGGAAGGACTGCTATAAAAAAGATCTTATCGTATTGTAGAAGGACGCCAGTGGAAAATTTTTTTCTATTGTGACTGATTATTGCTTCTTAGATAATTTGCTTCTCAGATTGCTACCCACACGCTGTAGCTGCACAGCTCCATGACACTTAGGTGCAATTATGGGTTGGTTATTTTAAAATGCTGATTATCTAGAAACTTACTGTCTAGTTTGAGCCGAAGCTTTTAAGTAAGCAGATACAGTCAGGCGTTCTTCAGGGCAAGACGGAGATAAAAAGGAAAGCACAGAGATCTCTAGGAAGAGTGGCGGCATGTTTGGAAGTCAGTGTCATTTCTCTGGCTCTGCACTGAGAAGAGAGTTGGACTCCATGGCTCATGAGTTTTAAATACCATATTTGCTCTCCCAACAGTCATAGTGAACAGCAGCAGGTGTTTTTTAGAGCATATTTATTTCTGTAATACACTAAAGAATAAAATTCTAAGGAGGTAATCAACAGCATGATCAGACAACTGTGTTTGTGTAACTAGAAAAGGAAAGAAATTTCAGGTAGGAAGTTCAGTTACCAGATTTATCAATATACCCGCTATAAAGCTAGGTCTAGGACTCTGTTATCATATTTGTCGAAAATTCCTATTCTCTTTTAGACATAAAAATAAGCAAACTAAAGATCTTTATTGAATGTCGGTTTTAATATTAATTGCAGAGGATTTTAATGTACCTTTATAAAAATAGACCTGTGTGCTTCATTTGTACAAATGTGCTACATGTCCAGTAAACCTGCAGCACTTTTTTGTAGTTACTGAAGTATGTGTTACTGAATTCTCAAACAGCTGGAGTTATTTGCGACTGCTAATTGTCACAAGTATAAAGAAAGTTCAACATTTACAACTACCACATTCATTTTATACAAACTTACTTCTAAATAACCATTGTACTAGTAATACCAGTTTGGTACCAGTTTTAAATTATCATAAAATAAATATTTTATTAATTTCTTAATTATATAATCCAATTTAAGTTGTTTCTGTATTTGTATCACATGACTTTCTGAAACCTAATGTTTAGGTCATTCACTATAGATGAACTTATTTCTGGTTCAGAGCAAGGCATGGAAGTTCAGCGTGGGGCATGGAAAAATTCAGCCAGCAATTTGTAAAACTTGTGACTACATTGACTGTCATACCGGATAGAGAATGACAGCCTTATTAATAAAGCAGTGCTAGCAATCACCTTATCATAAAGCAATATGTAGCAAAAGTAACTTCTGTGGATACGTGTATATTGTCTACAGACTAACTTGGTAGAGACCAAAATAATATTTTACTGCCCACCTTCTAAAGTTACATTTCTAATTACTGAAAAATAGAGTTAAATGTATGTTTCCATTTATTCTCCAGTGCTAAGATCCACAGCTCCAGGTAACTGTACTATGAAGAACAGTACATAAAAGTTAAGTGTGTTTATTTTTAAAATGGATGCCAAAAAAAGATCAAAACATTACATGTTGATACACATGCTTGAGTGGGCTGGATAGACTTAAGAGAAGTATTTAATCTGCATGAAAAGCACTGTACAGAAATGAGCTTCCTATTCCTAGAAGTTTATGGATGGATCCTTTGTACCAATATGTTTTTTTCTGCTGTGTTTCTTTAATCAGGTACCACAACCAGGAACACTGAAACTGTCTCACGTTCAGGAAGGCGGGTATGTTTTCCAGCTAACTGTGACAGACACTGCAGGTCAGCGGAGCTCTGACAATGTCTCTGTGACCATTCTGCCCATGGTTCATTCTGCAGTAGGTGAGAAAAATGACTGGAGCTGTTGCCTGCGTGACACTCAGGGTACAGTATTCAGAGCAAGGGAGGCAGAAACTGTATTATCCATTTCCAGTGTTCTGTTTTGCCCTTATTCATTACATAACGAATTACATACTTCAGCTTTGAATTGCTGTTTCAAAGTGAGGAAGCAAGGAAGCACTACTTGTTTCTTAGAGCAATAATACTTTGAAGCATTTAAATGTTTATCCTTGTATTAGTAATAAGCATGCAGGGTTGGAAAATTAAATACTGCCATATGTATCAGGCACATCATAACAGTTCATTGTATTGTCAGATGGTGTGTTCAACATGCCAGGGCTTGTGCTATAGGGAAGACCCAGTTAAAATCAGTTAGTAGTATGTGTGAGGCACACACTAATAATAATACTGACTTAAATCTGTAGTCTAAAAGATGGGATGACTTCTTGTTTACATGCGTTTAAGCTTTTCTGTGTAATGGTTGTTATCAAAGCCTTATGTTACTGGGCAAACTGGAACTGCAACTGATCTATGATTTTTAACCTCTGAGCTCAAGAAATGTGTAAAAAGCATAAAAGGTTTAGAAAGGAAGTTACATTTTGGTGGCTGTCATTTCTGTGCTCTAATGTAGTAACTTCTAATTACATTGTAATTAGCAAGTTGCTAATACAGATCTGCTGCTCTGGCACAAAGTAAAAGGTAAATAGCATCGTCACTATCTTCAGCTGAAACAGTGAAAACTTTGCTCTGCACCAGTGCAATATGTTTACATGAGAGGGTAGTCCTTGTGACAATAAATTGGTATTACAAACCCCCAGTTATGAGTCTGCTTAATAATGCCTGTATTCCAGTAATGGATGATAGAGTTGTATTCATTAATGTTTAACTCAGTTAAAGCAGCCAGAGAGGTTTGCTGGTTTGTTTATTTGCTGCTGTGGGTATTTGTGGTATCTTTTGGATGAAGCACATGGATGATTTGATGCCTTTTTTCTAATTCCCCAAGTACATTTGCAATTAATGTGCTACTGCTACAGTTAAACCAATACAGTGCCTTAATACGTGCAAGAACTGTGCTATTATTAGTGCTGAACTGTAGGAGATACATTTTCTAGGTATGATTTTAGGGGTTTTAAACAGGCACCTGTGTTCCTGCCATACTTCCCTTAGCATTGCGCAGCTTTGTGGTACATAGCAGGATAACAACCAAAGGCTGTGACTTCCTTATGCAAATCGATTTGCTGTTACAACATTAACCAAACATTGAATTTGATAGTGCTTTACAAAGCAATGAACGACACCACAGTTGGAAAGACAAAAGCACAGATGTAAACACTTGTTAATTACAAGGTCAGAATGGGATTTAGGAAAGCTTTGAATATGCAAAAAGAAATGTCCAGGGACACTCTCCATTTCCAGGTGGACCTAAATATTAAAGCAGGCAGCAATCAGTTCTTTCTCATGAAGGTCACTTGTGAGACCTTGTGCATAGTCCTGTTCTGGCATGTGCTGTATAGGAGTCAGTGAATTTTTGATGTAAATAAATTATGAGCATTCTTTTAGTATTTTAATTAGGTTGTAGAAAGCATGCCATAAAAGATCTATATGTGTGTATGTAAAATAACATCAAAAATACAGAATGGTCACGTTGTAGGAATTATGTGTTGGAGAGATGGAGTTACAGCCATAGAGATTTCATTTATGTATTTTCAGGACTGTCTGGGTCTTTTAAGCCTGGGAAGATCTCCTTTCAGCTTAGTCCAACAGAGTTTGAAGTGCTGGAGGGATGTTGCACAAGGTGTAAGATGCAGCAGCCTCCAGACTGAGTATTCCTGTAGTAAAGAAATTGCCAGAATAGTGATGAGGGTGCTAGGAACAGCTATTAGCTATATTAGCTTTTGTGTCAATATAGCATCATATAGCTGGGCCTGGTCCTTCTTTACCTTTTTGACATGTTTGTGGTCTTTCTTGACACAGCATAGTTTTGCTTTTTTCTTGGTGCTGCAGATTTTAGTCATTGACTCAGTATTTACTGCTTGGATTTCTCTTTTGGTAATCTGGGAATTGTTTTTCAACAGCCTGTGTTGGGGTTTGCTCTCGCTACCAATTTATCTGTGATGATGGCTGCTGCATTGACATCACGTTTGCTTGCGATGGTGTGAGACAGTGCCCCGATGGATCAGATGAAACTTTCTGCCAGAACTGTAAGTGCACCAGGCCACAGTGTAGATTGGTCATTCAGGCTGCAGTTACTTTCACAAAGGGGAATGATGCCCTTTCTGTGGCCTCTCTCCCTGTGAGCAAGCAACTTGCTCCTGCCATAGAGCCTTTCATTGGTAATAGCACATGGGAAAGTTTAATGCCTGAATACAGCAGATGCTTAGAAGTTAACTTCCTTTTCTTCAAAGAATATCAAAGCTGTCAGAGGTCCCCAAATGGCAGATTTGTGTTAAGAGTTCTCAACATTTAAAAGACCAGTTCTACTTGCATGATGATTCTAGAAACAATGAACCTGGTCTTGATCTGAAAGGGTGTCTCAGAGGTATACCTCAAAGTGCAGTTACACACCTTGCAAGAATCTGAAACACCGAAAATATGAGCACATAGGGGAACCAGCTGACTCACCATCAGTTTGTTCACTTTTGTTAGTCATCTTCAGTATGTGCCCATGCTCAGCTAAGTGAACAGAAATCACCAGAGGGTGAATTGGCACAATGGCTAACCACCCTTTCGCTGATATTTCAGTTCTGGATTTCACTGTATAGCTTGAGTGTACTCTTGCGTAATAGCTGACAGTGGGAAATTGGTAACTTGCTATGCTATGTATCTGGAACTCATATTTCATCATATGTCTGAACCCGAGGAAGTTGTTTAGCCTGCCTCAAGGCCCATATCAGAGGGTCTTCCATCACACCACTCCCATTCCCTTCAATTCTGTACAAAAATCGATTTTTGTTTCTATTAACACAGTTAGCCCAGGTCGGAAGACAGTGACACATGCAGCTCTTGGCACTACCCAGCAAAGGATGGTAGGACTGATTGAAAACACAGATGAAGACATCTCTGCAGAAAACACCCTGAAAGCCACTGCCAGAAATCAACCGCTTCTCTCAGTGGATGCAGACATGTCTAACCAATCGCTTTCTCAGGGACCAAAGAAACAAATCAGTGGATTTGTGCCAGGTAAGAATTGAAATTTAATGATTTCAATAAATCATTCTCTTTAAAGGAAGAAAATGTCTTGCACCTTAAATTTATTTAAATTGTCTTTTGGTGCCTGGCTAAGAGTAAAATTTTACAAATGTAAAAATTACAAAAGAAACGTGTAATAATTAAGTTACAAGTAGGTATTGCTTTATCATTGTCAATCTGGTTCTTACTGGGCGCAAAAAAAAAAAGTTAAAATGTGGAAATGCTAGGAAAAAAATACAGTCTAAGGAACGAAACATGCAGTGAGGTAAATACAAATTCTGACACAGGTTCAGTTGTGTAAGCTGATGTACAAGGCTCTTCAAAACCTGTAGGGCAGTACCTTCAGGACAACATAACAAAGTACCGTTCAACCTGGCTAAGAGTAATTGCTTTTCTCCTGGTGCTAACCGATGACTTCTTCTTTACCTGATGTAGAATCTTGATTATTATGGGCACTTTTTTTCTGAAGTGTGTCTCCAGGGCAGGAGAAATCTTCCATCACTACAGAGAAGGCTCAGTCTTTTGTAATAATTGGTGTGTCTTTTAACGTTCTTGCTGGTGAATTAAAACAATCTGAAAGGGCAATTGAATGAAAGCAAAACTGTGTGCAAGAAGCCTAAAATGAGTACAAGACCTCCCACTTTTATTTCTTTATGGTTTAGACTGTTTCTTGCTAAGATGCAGCTATTTATAGACAGCTTTATCTTGTTACAACAGAGCAGTGCTCAGTGCCCTCTGCTGCTGACTCTTGTAAAGGGCACTTCCCTGGTTGGCACTTTGATGTTTCTTCAGATGCTTGTGCTTCATCTGTGGAGACCACAAAGGGAGTGAAAAACAATGTTCTTCAAGAATTTGACTGCCTCGGTGAATGTGTAGGAACTGATAGCAAAATCCTCTCTCAAATGTTTCCCCCTTTTCTGGCAGTGTAGATGACCTCAGTGCTCCTTATTGGAATGACTTAAAATTCTGAAGTCTGCCCCAAACCCTTCTTGTTTGCATAGTCCTGAGTGACATCTGATACAGGGCCACCCAAACTAAACATCAAATTGCCAAAGGGCATTGCAGGCCCCGAAGGAAAGTCAGCTGCTAAGTAGGTCTCAAAAAACGTTGGACTTATGAATCCAGAAGTAAAACCAGAATTGAGATGACCAACTTTGGCAACCTATAATCAGAGGTTATAATTGGAAGTGCATGTGAAAGCATGGCACTTTTGTATAGTCATTTTCTGTGTTTATCCATTGCACAGTGACTTGCTCACACCGGTTTTACTCTCAAGGTAGCCTTTTGCACAATAGAAAATGAAAGAAATTAATATAAAACTAAAAAAAAGTGATGGAGCTTCAGTGATTAGTGTACTACCAGAAGCTGTTGTAATCTTTATAATTTTAAAACAGATGACATTTCTACTGACCATGTCTAGTTTTAATTCCTGTGGTTTTAATATTGCTCTTTTGACAAGGCTCAGTCAGAATTTAATTTCAGTTAAATGATACTTAAGGATTTTCTTGTAGAATAGAATGACCCAGTACTTACTGATCCAGGAGCCCAATACTTTTAACCAGAAAAGCAGCAAACAGTGCAGTGAGTTTTAGAATTGCCTGTGGATCAGTTCCAAAGAGAATGTATGTGATGCGACATGAAGAGGTGCTAGCTACCTGGATTCAAAGCGCAACTGCCAAGATCTGCTCTGACTTGCTGTCTTCTCATGCAGACAGTTCAACTCTATAGGAGTCATGTGCTTGTACCCTAATGATTCCCAGAGGTCCAGAGAGGTTCAAGCCCTGCCCCAGTAGCAAGCACCATAGTCTTTATGGAGTTGAGGAAAAAAGCATCTAACCTATTCCTAAAAAATCCATCTAGATCCATTAATTAGACTTTTTTTCCATCACTGCCATCTCAAGGAGGTTACAGACCAAATCTAATCTTTAGCTGCTACAAAAATGTGAGACAGAAGCACTGGAGCAGCTTCATGAAGCCCATCTGGAAAAGTGTTCAGGGGGGCAATAATTGCTAGATGTATTTTTTAGGAAAGGTAAGCAATGCTGAACAGAAATCTTACCAGCAGCCTCAAAGGTTCAGCAATTCCACTGGCAGAAATCCTGTTCTGGGATGGACTGTCTTCTGAGACAGTGCCGGACCCACTGCTGATGCCAAGGCAGAACCTGTGCCTCTGAGTCACACTGTAAAGGTCTTTGCTGGACCAAGACAATAATGTGGCTTGTTGGCACAGAGTTGACTTTGCAAGCATCCAGGCTCCTGATTATTCTATTATAAATATTTTTTTTAAATAAGCTTTAATGATTTTAATGTCAACATTGTGAAAAGCTGTCTACTTAAGATACATGTTAAAGAATATGGCTTTACAGTGGCAGCACAGGCTCCAGCTTTTCACTTGAGAGTGCTCCATTCAGGGCTACATTTGTCTTAGTTGGTATTTGCAGATTGTCATGGAAATACAAGCCGGGAAGGAAAATGTAATTCATTTAGAACCAGTGACTGCATGGCAGAGCAAGAGAAGATGTTAATATTAAGGGTAATTTACCTACAGGAGAAAGTATGTGGCATATTCTAGGTGGCTGCTAGACATGATGCTTGATACAGTAGCTTTCAGCTGACTTTTAAAAAACAGAAGTTTTTCCCAAGAAGTTGCAGGACTGGGAGTTGCTTTTTCTTTTTTACATGTGTTTTTATTACAGTGGTGGTTACAGTACCAATAAAGACAGGTTCCTTCTGCTACTTACCTCCCCATAAGCAGATTTCATCTCTGACAATCCAATAAAGATGTCCAGTAAAGGGACCTTTTTGTCAAGGACTGTAATATTTATCTGTTCTCCCTTTTAAAAGGAGCTGGGCTAAGCTGTAATGTTTTGGGCTGTGGGATAGTTCATCGCAGCAGGAATATGAGCTTTCTGCCTAATACTAGGGAAAATTTGTCCCAGAATCCATTTTCTCCTAAATTTCCCTTAAGCTGCTTTCTTTACTCCAGTAGCCCCTCATGTTTGGCTCTGACTTGATATAAACTTTATAAGGATTTCCACTTAAGTATGAAAATATGCAAGTCCAAGGTGAGGACAGTTTAAAACTTCTACCTGACCCAGCAGGGGATCTATTCACAGTAAAGAGAAAAAAAAGGCAAACCAAAACCCAAAAGTCATTCATTCATTCATTGTTGACAATGGATGAGTTCTGCACCCTTGCTTCCCCAGTGGGATTCCTCTACAGCAAGTTGACTCCAGGGGAGCACAAGTCCAATTTAGAGATAACCTCCTCAGGCACTCAGGGCATGGAGTCTTCTGCAACAGACTCATCATGGTTTACTTTTGCCAGAGATGCCAGAAGAAGCATTTGATATCAATAAAGGGGTCCTTTCCCTTTGCAGACATACCTCCATAGTGAAGTAACCCAGACTGCATCTCCTCCAAAGGCCAGTGCAGCATTGCTGCATGGCTGCCTCTGAAGAGCCCCAGTGTCCTTCCTAGGGAAGCTCTCAAGCCCAGCTGCATATTTTGGCACTGCTGCACTTATAAATGAATATAGCAAAAATACAGTTGCAGAAAAGCACACTGGAGTGAGCAATGGGCTGGCTTCTAAGCAGCAACAGCCAGTCTAGCAAACACAGTCATGCAGGCGGGTTGAATTCACAAGCAGCCTGAAGATTTGCACTCCCCAGTATAGCCAACTCTAGTGTATAAATCACCATAACAGCTTTGCATTCCCCTGGCACAGGGTCACTGCCTCTCCCCAGGCTGCCCATGCCAGCTGTTGTGCAGTACTGTTCAGAGCTGGGATTACACTGTTTGACTGAGTGCCCAAGCCTTAGTCATGGTTTTGCTGCAGAGGCACTGACAGCAGTAGCCATAACCTAGATCATTAATTTAGTGTAACTGGAAAAGGCTATAAATTGCAATTTCCTAGGCATGGACTAGAAAATTAAAGTGAAAACAAAATGAAATGCACATACCATGCTTTATGTCAGGCTGCCAAACCTGTTTGGGGAAATCTCTCTTTGTTTTCTAGTTGCTAAGAGAATTTAAGCAGTCTTGACTCTGATAGCCCCTCCAGTCTTGTAAGAACAGCCACAAGTCTTTTACAAATGCCTACAAGCTTTATTGAAGGGATTCTGTTATTCTTCTACCCTTCCAAAATTTTCCTGCTAAACTTCTCTCCAGCTATATTTGCCAAATGTCATTACAAGCAGTTGACTTTTGCTATTCCCTTTACTCAAATGGCAAGGGAAACAAACTTATAAAACATCCCACCTTGTCATACAGTCTGGAGCCAATATCTTGAGAAGAGCCAATGTCTTTTGGGTATTTCCAAAATAAAGACAAATACTCATTTCGTTTCATTTAGGGAAGACAGAAGCAGAAAACAGCTGCTGGCTTTGGTCTCAATTACACTGAGGTTATTTTGCACAGCTCTGATACCATACAGGTACCTTAAAGCCAGTACAGTTTACACTTAGGATTTCACAGAATCATGGTTGGAAGAGACCTCAAAGATCACCTAGTCCCAACCCCCCTGCCATGGGCAGGGACACCTCCCACTAGACCAGGTTGCTCAAAGCCCCGTCCAGCCTGGCCTGAACACTGCCAGGGAGGGGGCAGCCACAGCTTCTCTGGGAAACCTGTGCCAGTGTCTCACCACCCTCACAGGAAAGAATTTCTTCCCGAATATCTAATCTAAATCTACCCCCTTTCAGTTTAAAATTGTTACCCCTCACCCTACCACTACACTCCCTGATGAAGAGTCCTTCCCCATCTTTCCTTTAGCCCCCTTTAAGCACTGGAAGGCTGCTATAAGGTCTCCCCAAAGCCTTCTCTTCTCCAGGCTGAATAACCCCAACTCTCTCAGCCTGTCCCCATAAGGGAGATGCTTCGGCCCCTGATCATCTTCATGGCCTCCTCTGGACCTGTTCAAGCAGGTCCATGTCCTTCTTATGTTGGGGGCCCCAGAGCTGGACACCGCACTGCAGGTGAGTCTCACAAGAGCAGAGTAGAGGGAGAGAATCACCTCCCTCAGCCTGCTGGTCACACTTCTCTTGATGCACCCCAGGATGCAGTTGGCTTTCTGGGCTGTGGGCAGACATTGCTGGCTCATAGTTTTCCATCCACTAGTACCCCCAAGTCCTTCTCTGCAGGGCTGCTCTCAATCCACTCATCACCCAGCCTGTATTTGTGCTTGAGATTGCCCCGACCGATGTGCAGGACCTTGCACTTGGCCTTCTTGAACTTCATGAGGTTTGCAGGGACCCAGCTCTCAAGCCTGTCCAGGCCCCTCTGGATGGCACATCCCTTCCCTCCAGTGTGTCAACCGCTCCACGCAGCTTGCTGTCATTGGCAAACCTGCTGAGGGTGCACTCAGTCCCATGTCACCAACAAAGATGTTAAACAGCTCTGGTCCCAATACTGACCCTGGACATTGAGCTGTTGACTGTAACTCTTCAAGTGAGACCATCCAGCCAATTCCTTATCCACCAAGTTGTCCATCCATTAAATCCAGCTCTCCAGTTTAGAGACAAGGATGTTGTGCAGGACACTGTCTAATGCTTTGCACAAGTCCAGGTAGATGACATCAGTTGCTCTTCCTTTATCCTCCAATGCTGTAACCCCATCACAGAAGCCCACCAAATTTGCTGGGCACAGTTTGCCCCTACTGAAGCCACATTGGCTGTCATCAGTCATCTCCTTATTTTCCATGTGCCCTAACACAGTTTCCAGGAGGATCCGCTCCATGATCTTGCCAGGCACAGAGGTGAGACTGACTGGCGTGTAGTTCCTTAAGTCCCCTTTACATGTTAGAACAACTTAAAGAGCCTGAATGAGAAGGAAGGCTACAGCTTGTTTCTAAGACATTTCCTAGCAGTTAAAGTTAGTGTTTATGCACCCCTAGCCACAATGGCAGGTCAATAAAGCCACAGCTTGTGAGGCTGTGTTGTGCCTTAGAGTGGGGATGTTAGCACTAACCTGATACCAGGTTCAATGAAACAATTTAAGCTTTAATTAATGGTCGCGTGTATTCGCAGCTGCTTCTGACAGGAATGTGTTGTGCAGTGCTTCAGAGCTGCTGGTGGTGGGTGGGAGTTACACATGGTGCATGTTCCAAGCTGATTGACTTAAACACTTCCTTAACACCCACCACTATATGTAATTCCAGTTAAAACGTTTCACATTCATATTTTACAGATAGCATAGCATAGTATGTTTCCACTGGCATTGGCACAGTTCTGTGGGCTGCCAGGAAATCCATCAGAGCACAAGGAGTCCTTCAGTATTTATCAGTAAAAAACAAATAGAATTACATTTAAAAACATGGGTGTCTTTCTGATTTTTTATGAGAGTGTGTTGGCGGATTAAGCTGTCATTCTTGCATGAATGTCCCTGTAACTATTGGTGTAGGACTTCAGTGGGAGGGCAGGAGGTGGGAGTCCCAGCTGAGTTACAATTTGCTCCTGTGAAGCAGAACTGCAGCCACCTGCACTCCCAAGATGAACACTTCTTGGCAGCAAACTGTGTTTTCTTTTCTCATGTAGTCACAATGCTCTGCATCTTGTGTACTACACAAAGCTGAAGTGACACCAAGTCATCCTCTTTGAAATGTCTTACCCGTATATTTTTATGTCTTCCAAATACATAAGTTCTGCATTTGTATGTGCCAGGTAACAGGCAAAATTAAGGTAATTTGTGTAGCCAACCTATGGGTTTCCCACTTCACAGGTTCAAAGGGTAGACATCAACATAACTTGAAATGGCCTCATTTCCACCTATATATAACTGTATATAGCTATATATACACACATAACTGCATGTAATTGTATATATAACTACTATATATAGTAATGTTTTAGCTCAGATTGGTCCCCATTACAAATCCCATCATTGAAGTTTGTAAAAGAGAATTTATATCCATCTTTTTTCAGTGGAAAATGACCCACTTGGGTTTGGTTGAGATGCACTGTGGTTTGCAATGCTAAATTGAATTTACATTTCAGCTTTAGTTTTGCAGAAGTTCAAAAATTTGAGTTAGACAATAGGAGTCAGAAGTTCTTAAACTGTAGGATTGTTTTGTTTTCTATATGTAAGTACTTATTTAATGCTAGTGTCCTGTGGTTAAGACTTCCTGAGTCACTGAATTGCAATATTCATTTATCTTGCTTGATTTTGTGCAGATAACAGTTCCTCAGGGAAAAGAACGGATAATAAAAATGAGAATGGCATAATGGTGCCAAAAAGAGATCAGCTTGGAGGTAGTCATCCAGTCCCAGAAACAGGTAAGACTGACCGTATGAATTAATTTTGAATTATGTTGGGTTTTCAGTCAGGTGCTATAGATCCAGATACTATAGTCAAAAATTGAATAACCTGCTTCCGTATTCTGAACTGTTCCTAACTTGTGTGATCTTACAGCATGAGTTGCTCCAAATATTAGCACTGAAGTGATAGACTAGCTGTATTTTGAAAGAAAAATTTCAGGTTTTTCTCTACCAATTTCTCACTGTATTAAATAAAATGTAATTTCTCTTAACCTTGTTGTAGGTGCTGTGTTACCCTTAGCCTTAGGCTTGGCCATCACTGCTTTACTGCTGCTTATGGTTGCTTGCAGACTGCGTTTAGTGAGACAGAAGCTTAAAAAAGCTCGACCCATTACATCTGAAGAGTCCGATTACCTCATCAATGGGATGTACCTCTAAAAATTGGATTTAGGTCAGTTGTTTTCTCCCCTTTCTCCTGTGTCCATGAACCTCTGCCTCTATAAAAGGACCAAAACTTTTAGTTAAGTTTCAATTGTAGAAGCCTATGAGATGAGGAACGTGTTCTTCCCCTTTGGTGATAAAATAAAAAAGCAGGTAGATGCCTGGGCTCAGAAAGTAAGAAGTGTTCAGGCTCCAGAGACTAGCTCCAGTTGGCTCTTGTGCAGAAGGCACTGCAAAGTGGGGACACCCCAAACTGGACATGAGGTGCCCTTGCCCCACTACCCTCCGCCAGCAGTTGGTGTGCTGGCCGTGGCAGAGTATGCCATGGGGCCAGGGCGCTGCAGCAGCTGAGGCCCAGCAGCCCTGGCCGAGGCGTAGAGGGGGCCTGTGCTGCCCTGCTCCTCTCAGCGCTGCTGCCACTCCTCTCTGGGGACTGGGACGCTCCAGACCAACGCGTTACTTCGCTGTCCAGCAAAGAGACTGATTTGTGCACTTTCCACTTGATGCATTGGGAGGATTTTCATTAAAAAATTTGTCTTGCTTTGTTAATTAAAAGCAATTGCTCTAAGCACCAGCTTTTGTAATGAAATTTGAGATTTAAGGAACAAAGCATCTTTTTTTCATTTGTAGTTTAAACCTCTGTACAGCTAACAGAGTCATGCTTCCTAAATGCTAAAGTGAAAAAATGCAAGTCCTCAGTGGATGAGTTTGGACTTAGCAGTGCTCAACAGCAGTCATGTGTGATCCCAGAGCTATGTCTCTCCTCAGAGCTCAGGGCTTGTTCAGCCTTTTCCACCCCTAGCTTGACACCTTCCACAGTGCGAGAGAGCAGCACACAGTGGCTTTTACCTGAGACACTGGAGCGTAGGATTCCTGTTGGTTATCCCATAGCTTCCTGCAAAGCTTGAAAGCTTCGGTGACCTGCCCTCACCCCAGAAAAATTCTTATAGAATTAGAGCAAGTAATTGGTATGTGTGAGTGACCTTCAGATGTGTTAATAGTAAAATGTGTACAGTACATGTTATATATACACACACACCACATGCTGTCTATCTTGTTTGACTGTCCAAGGATATCACATTCATCACAGGTCCCAATAAAAAGAGGCAAAATGAGGCATGCATCTTTTTGTATGTCGTCTTTTGTAACTTTGAGTCGGCAAGAATATTCCATGGTATACAAATAGTTCTTCAAGTTGCTCGGTCTTGATTACTTTATGTAAAATAGCTCTAATAAACCTATTTTGTTCTTATATTTCTTGAATTGCCTTTATTTTCAGCTACCAGCTAAATTTTGTGCTACGAGACTGTAGCATGAGAACAGACAGAAGTACATTCCTCCTTTCTGTGAAACAGCCCTTAAAGAAGCTGGAACGTGTATGGTGGGGGGAGATGCTGAGATACCTTGTTTTAGGAAGAACAGGGCATCTACCTCCAGAATTTGTGTCTCAAGAAGTACTGGAGCTGAGCGGGACAGCAGTCACAGAGCTGGCTGTCCCAACCACACAGGGAGTCCGGTTGTCAGTGCTCCTTGCTCAGAGCCCTCCTGTCACGTTAGGCAAAGTCTGGTTGTTAGTACTTCAGCATCACACTGAGTCCTGGAGACCTTCTGCTGATGCTGCCCATTTCTAATTCATCACGGCCTCTCTTCCATGCCAGCCTACAGCAGGCATGGCAAATAGCACAAGACCCAAAAGATGACATTTTAAATACAGCCTTCTAGGAAAGACTCACTGCCCATCTATTTTTTGGGGTATTATTTCCCATCATTGAAATTTGTTTGGGGTTTTAATTATATATCAAATTCTCCTTCACCATATTACCATAGCAGCAAGAAAAGTAGTCTTTTCTCACTGTGCTCATAGTGCTTCTATTACTGAAACCCATTAGCTGGCACACAGCCAGCAAAACAGAAGGTTTGGTTTTGTTCTTCTGGGCAGGACAAGAGTTAGATCCCACATGGAGCACAAGCCAGCAAGTACAGCCATGGTGAAAGCCCCATGCCGGGCTTTCCAGTTGCTTTAACTGACAGCAGGCTTTGTTGCAGTGCTGCTGTGAGTAGAATCAACCTTCATGGATTTCACATATGACAGTCAAGAATAAACAACTCCAAGCAGAGCTGGAGCGAGAGCCACAGACAGCAAGTGTAGCCCAGGAATCTAGCTATCACTATGTTAATAGTTGCCATAGTATTCCCAGGGACTCTTCCTAGGAGGGGAGATGGTGACAGTTGCTGCTGTGCAGACCACCAACCTGAGGCATGTTACTTCTTGGGTAATCGCAAACTCCACTACTGGACTGAAATTTAAAAAGTTTGTACCCTACCAGAAAGCCTGGGTGTTGTCAGCAAGATGAAGAACAAGACAAAGTTAGCAAAATAACAGATTGGCTTGGCAGCTCCTGCAATTAATACACACTGGTCTCAATAACATGTTTTAATTTAATAACTTTCATGCTGTTTGACTTTTAAATAAGTGATCCTGAACTACTGCGCCAGAGCACATCTGAGCAAGAGCAGAAGTTGTGGCCAGACACCCTTGCCAACATGCAGGGGGTGCTGCCCTCTTCTCCCCAGGCTGCTCCCAGCCGCTGCCTCCTGCTGACACCACTTCTGTAGCCCCTTCCCAACCACTCCCAAGGTCAGGGCTCTCTCTCCAATTGCAAAGGAGCACTATGAGCAGGCACTGCTTCTACCCCATCTTCACATCTTCATGGTCACATTGCTAACTGCTTTCATGGCTTCTCACGCAAACTTCCGGAGCTTGGGAGTTTATAGAATGTTTGTGCTGCTGCAGAAGTCAGATACTCTGTGTGAAAATCATTGCTATTTGAGGTCTGTCCTAAACACCGACATGTATCTATCCACACCCCGGGAAATATGCTCAGTCCATCTGTTTTCACTACCAGCTTGCTTTAGACACATAAGCAGAGAATACTGATTGCTCTGATAGCACATACCTGTGGCTATTACTCCTCTGTGTATTAGGAGAGATCATTACAGTTTGTTTTGTCAGTATATTTTAATGTTGATCAAGGTACATATTTCAGTTAGATGGCTTTTTATATTTTCAATTGTTTTACTGCTCAGACCACTTAAGGGCACAAATTATTTCAAAGTAACAGGCAATACCTACCTGAGTTTTATATCCATAATTCAAAGTCAGTTTTCTTCCATAATGCGGGTTGCTTACTGCCCACTTCTGCAGGGGATCCTAGACTGAACATCCCCACTGTAGTCTTTCCCATAGCACTGCAGGATTATAGCAGGCGGAGTTCCAAAAGCACATTTGCAAAACAAAAAGGCTGAAACAGGTCAGTGCAATGCTCCATTTGCTTTTTAAATCCTAGATAAAGCATAAGAGTTTCAGTCCCAAACTCCACAGAACGAGTCAGCAGCACACACCAATGGCAACACAAACACGCCACCCCAAAACAAAGAGAACGCCTTTCTAGTAAGCCCCAACAGAATTCACAGTCATGCATCACTGAGGTCTACACTTGCTGCTTTCATGAGCATCAGGAATTGGGATTTTTCGGTTTCTAATAGCAAAAAACTAAAGAGTAAAAGCAAAGGAAAAAGCTAGAAAAGATTCAGATACAGCTGGGGGGCATAAAGACCAGTCATAGCAATGAACATGTAGTAATTATTATGAAAGAGCCCATGACGCAATCGGCTTGACCTCAATAACAAAAGGGAACCATGCTGTAAACAGAAGGAAAAAAAAAAAAGGTAGAAATACCTTTACTATGTATTTTTCAACTAATAGCTACTTAAAACAAGTCAGAAAGTGAAAATGTAAGGCTACAAATACATTTGTAATACAACAGAAACACTTGCTGGACATTGCACTCTGCGCTGGAGCTCTAAAACACAAAGTCTAGGAGGACTGACTCAGCACACGAAAGCCAGTTCAGAAACAAGTTTTTAAAGATACCTGTTAGAATTTTAATTTTTTGCATTTTTAAGGCTCCCAGCTGGGTTTTACAAACCACTGATAAATCAATGAAAAATGTACCTTGAGCAGGCTGAGAAACAACAGACAAAGCAAAAAGGTTCAGTGCTGTGAAGGACTGATAAGACAGCTTGCAAGGATGTCCTCAGCTGTTCGGCCAACAGAAATGTCTAATCCCATTTTAAGAGGCAGAGCAAGAAATTTTAACATAGTTCTTCACAACTACCAGCTTCTAATGCATAAAAGAGACTCATTAAAGATAGCTAAATTCCAAACAAATGACTGAACATAGATACAGAGGGAGCAGGAAACTTGGATGGGTGCAGGACTGGAAAGGATTTGAAAGCAGGCAGCGCAATGGAAAGCAGGGACTATGGGAAAAGCAACCCTGAAGGCTAATTCCATGCACAGGATATGACAATCCTGAGGCTGTCTCTATAGCCAGAGGAGACAAGGTTCTCCTAGGCAGGTGCTCTGAATCACCCACTTCTCTAACCACAGGCCTTTGAGAGTGTCCTCCTAGTCCATAATGCACCTGAACTAGAAGTTACTGATTAACTCAGATGTCCCTTCTCCATTATAGCAAAAAAGGATTTGGCAGAATATGGTAAACAAGATACTTAACCTGTTCATAACAAACACACGTAAGATGCAAACATATGCCTAAACATGGCTGAGAAAAGGACTTCAGCTTCTCAGTAGCATCAGGGAACGTTTTCAAGAGTATCTATCAGGTCAGTTCTTCAGAACCAGATGATGAAAATGGCTGGACTACAAAGAAACACTGAAAGATCAAAGTGAGATCTCTGAGAAACTCTGTCAACAGTCTTTATGAAAACAGTCTGTTGTTGCTAAAACAGTTTTGTTAAAAAGGCACGGAATTAAAAGTCTCTCAAGTTTTCAAGTTTGGTGTGATGAGAAACAAAGCAAGTTCTTCCCATTTCTCGTTCCTGAAGCTTTCAAGCAATTTTCAACAGGCAGCTGGATCTCCTCCATACATATTTCAGCAATAACTATGTCCATTCAATTAATAATTTAAAGAAATATGATTTTAGTTCCTGAGCATCTCATTAACACCCTGCCAAGAGTGTGAGAGAACAGTAACAGCCTTTCATAGGAAAGCTCAGAATGCATCAGCTGCGTTACGAATTGTGCTACCTATAAAACTACTACCTGGAACAGAAAGCAGCCTGCGGCGGGCAGAGGAAGCAAGCAGCCGATTCAATGTGAATGATAGAGCAAGCTTCAACTTTATTGATAGAAATCACACCTTATATAAGCACTCTACAATACACTACTTGCAACTCTATTGGATACATTTAAGAAACTACATTATAATATCTCAGCCATTGGGCACATCCAAAAGGTCACATTACAGTATCCCAGGCCCTCGTGGCATCTCTGGTATGCATAAACATCTTTCTTGCTGTGAAGCTGCTTCTCTCCCAGGGCTGTTCCCTTCACCTCCACGGTCATAATACGCCCCAACTTATCTCTGTGTTCTCACAACAATCCTCGTTAACACAACTGAGCCCTGGGTCTTCATCCTTGTTTACATAACTGTACCCTGGGTTCTTTCCTTTGTTTACCTCAGGTGGCTGGGACCGACTTCTGCAGGGAGCTATGGCCTTGTTCTCTGCAAGCTGTTCTCCAACAGCAGCCCTGTGTGTCAAGGATGAAATGTGAGAGGTAAACGGGTCAGGTAGAGGAAAGTTTATAGTGTTTCTGCCTGCACAGGGTCAAGTTTTAGTCCAAGCTGATTTCCTCAAACCTGGCTGAGACACACAAACCCAAACCTTGCCACTGGTGCTCAGAGCACACAAGTGCATACTGATTACAGTAGAGGCAAAAGGGTTTATACCTTAAGAGTGTCTACACACTTCCCACAACTGGTCTTCCACCTTTCACAATTAGATGGACAAAAACTCAGAGCCAAAGGCAAACTGTATGAACCCACAAAATCAACTTAAACTACATGCTTGAATCCACCTATTGTATACCACAGAATTTAAACTCTAATTTACATTTCTTGATGTGTAGTCTGGACGTCCTGAAATACAAAAGACCAATTTCAAACTTCATCATCTCCTGCATCCCCCAGCACACACGCTGCCTTTTGGGCAGCAGCTCCCCTCTGTGAGTTTTTGTTTTGTTCTGCACAATGTGCTTGCATGACCTCATCGTGCTTTTCTTCTGAACCAGGACCGCTGCTCATTCACTTGAGCAGAATACCTCTTCCACATCATTTGGGACAGAGAACAAGGCTTCCATAAAGGTAATTAGTATTAATGATTTTTCTA